GCTGGCTCACTGTTCTTGATAACAATTGATAAATGACAAGGTTCAGCGAATTAAAAAACGATTCCTGACTCCGCTGTTGTCACTATAATTTCGTCATGAATTTATTGTCTTTTAATCTTTAGTCTACCTTTTTCTATGTTTATTGTTTTCGTATTTTATATTAATGCAAATTTTTATTGTTTAATTTTTTGGTACTTAATAGTTTATCTACAAAAAAATATTTATTTAATAAAATATTATCAGTTTATTTTAAAGACGTCGTGAACGCTTTACATAGCCGCATAAAAACTACCTATATTTTTGTTAAACACGTACTGAAAATCACTTCAGCAAAATGTTTAAATCGAATTTCGAAAAACTTCTTGGTAATTTGAACTATCTCGATCGCAATACTATAATATTATTGTATGTATTTAATGCAATGTTTTCATATAATTCAAATTTCCAGATAAAGTTACCAGCAATTTGTTGTTAGAAGCGGATTGGCCAACGACATTAGAAATATGTGATACAATACGGCAGAARGATGTCCAGTAAGAAAATTATATTTTATACTAGTTTTAATATATTATTAATAGGTATCAAGATTAAAAACAATAGAAATAGGTGTAAACTATAAAGTGATAACAATCAACATTTCAAACAATTAATAAAAWATGTCTTATTCATACATACATTGTATAAATGAGTTCCTACACTCATACTCAACATATTATTATAATATTATATAAAAAAAGTAGTTTAATAGCTTCATGTTCTACTAAATAATAATAATTTAAATATATGGCACGACCTTTAGAAAAAAATAAAAAATAATGTACTACCTATCTAATAATATTATTTTGAATTATTATTCATAGATTTTAACTTATAAAAAAATGATTTAAGATTTTCAAACTTAATTAACACTTGAAAGTTTATATATWTCATCTAATACACTCATTTCTTTACTTATTGCTTACTCAAGTAAGTATTGAAAGTGTTCATGGTCTAATGATTATTTATTGAARAACTTAATCCGGTTTCACATCTAATAGTCTATCTTGTCATACCCAAAAATATATAAGCATACATTTGGGGATTAGAATCTATAAATTATGAAATGTATAGTTATTAATCAGAATTGTTGCGAGTATACAAATGTATAGAAAGATGAATTTTTATTTGTTTTCCATACATATCTAACTTACTTTTTTTTCKGTTTTGAACCAAGACGTCACAGGAATTGCTTTCACATTCTTCCGCAACACCACTATCTTTATTTGACAACAAATAATTATACGTAAAGGCTTTCGCCACATGGGGGTAGAAGGGACAATACCCCGATTTACTCCCTCAAGGTTATAMATTTTGATAGTTTACTATTTATTATCTTAATCTCTCTCTTACATCTACTCGAGCTGACTGGAGTCAGTCACCCTGGCAGTCTCGTTCCTTTCCGTCTTCCCGAGCCAAACAAAGTCCACTGTTCTTGTTTCTCGTTCACCAGATCGTCTTATGTTTCAGTATGGTCTGTCCCTCCCATGGGGATAAGGTAGAATGTGGTCGGTGACATCTCCGACGTGAGTGTGTGCGACTTGTTCCCCATCTTTGGTCCCGAGAGGTTCAGSTGCTTGTGGCTAACCTAATCTGCCGTCCAGCTCTCCCGTCACATATCTGAAACCTACTTACCTATGAATCATTACATGGCTTATCCATATTTTGATTTGATGTATTTATTTTAAGAAAAAGTTGATTTGCAAAAATAAGACTTAGCATATATTTATTATACATATATGTATATATTTATATATTCAATCGCTAATTATTTTTAATTTAGAAAGAAGACATTTATAAAAATCAATTAAAGTCTCTGCGATATTTGATTTTTAATTCATTGTTGCATTGCAAATCAATTGTTTMTATTTGCAGGGTAAGAGGCAACTTTTCAATATCACAACTAAAGGGATTTCTATAAATATATATTTTCTAAGATTTTAGGTCAAGGTCAGCAAAATTATGAAAACTTGTTCTTTGGCTATAATTTGGAGATTCCTATTATGAAGTATAAGAATATCATAAAAATATTTGTTTTTAAAAGATATTTTTTTGAGACCCATAAAAACCACAAACATTCTCCCTATCCAAGCCTTTCAAACAATTACCCTAACTTATTACTGGTARCGTTATATGGTACATAAGACATAACAAATGCAGCCCTCCATAACGATCTAAAAATGCWAACAATAAACGAGCTTACTAAAAGCCACTATAAAAATTTCCATTTWAAAAAAATTAACCATCTGAACCYCTATATTAAAAACACGTCCAAAAAGTTTTTGTCAATTAAAAAGAAATTGACCTAGAGACCTTCTAAAATAAAAAATAAGTAAGAAATTTTCTGATATTCTGTTAATGATTAGTCTCCTCTTCATGTGATGAATATTTTTGTGTGTACTTATCTTATCATCCTTATTACTTAAGGTCGTCACACACTGCAGCGGTAGTGGTGGTGGTAGTGGTTACGGCAAAATGAAGCCRGACTCAATTTTACCGGCACCACAAAGACAAAAGAATTTTACCGCCACCGCTGCTGTGTGTGGCGACCTTTATTGTTTTTATCTAGTAATCAAATGGAATATATTTAAATAAAAAAAA